AAGTATGCAACATATACTATATTACCAAAAGTATTGGGACACCCCTCCAAATCATTGGATTCAGGTGTTTCGTGAGATTTCCTTGCTACTAAATACTCCACGGTCACCTGTTACTGGTATTATAACAAAGTGGAAGCAACTCAGCCACCAAGTGGTAGGCCACGTAAAATGACAGAGCGGGGTCAGCGCATGCTGAAGCGCAGTGCGCAGAAGTCACCAACAGTCTGCAGAGTCAATAGCTACAGACCTCCAAACTTCGTGTGGCCCTCAGATTGGCACAACAACAGCGCGTAGAGAGCTTCATGGAATGGGTTTCCATGGCCGAGCAGCTGCATCCAAGCCTTACATCACCAAGTGCAATGCAAAGCGTGGGATGCCGTGGTGTAAAGCTCGCCGCCATTGGACTCTAGAGAGGTGGAGACGTGTTCTCTGGAATGACCAATCACGCTTTTCTGTCTTTTCTGGAACAGTTTGAGGATGGCTCCTTCCTGCTCCAACATAACTGCGCACCAGTGCACAAAGCAAGGTCCATGAAGACATGGGTGGGGGAATTTGGGGTGGAGGAACTTGATTGGCCTGCACAGAGTCCTGACCTCAACCCCATAGAACACCTTTGGGATGAATTAAAGCGGAGACTGCAAACCCGGCTTTCTCGTCCAACATCAATACCTGACCTCACAAATGGTCCAGCATTCCCACAGACACACTCCTAAACCTTGTGGATGCCTTCCCAGAAGAGTTGAAGCTGTAATAGCGGCAAAGGGCAGAGCCAACCCAATACTGAACCCTACGGACTAAGACTGAGATGCCATTAAAGTTCATGTGCGTGTAAAGGCCGGTGTCCCAATACTTTTGGAAATATCTAACATTTGAACAAAGCATATGAGATTACCTGTGGACGCTTCCACTCCACCACCCTGGGGGGACTCCGGCTGTAGTACAGGGATTGGTCATTTGCTGGGAAGGTGGGATCCTCAAAAAGGCGGTTATGGCGACGACACTGGTTTTTGAGACGGTCATAATGCTGGTCCTGGTAATGAATAACCATGGTGATGAATGCTAAGCACCCAACTGTTGTAAAAAATGTCAGACTAGTCTCTGTGGCAACACTCTACTGTCCGCTGTATGTTAATCAGTCTGTAGTTCCTCTTGTCATCTTCGGGGGCTCCACCGTCCCTCCATATCCAACCATGCCATGGATTCCGGAGGTTGTATGGGCAAGCTGGTCCTAGGAGTCAGAGCATATCCATGGCAGAGACAGTGTGAGAGATTCAGGCTTTTCAGTATCAGTCATAGAGTTGTTATCGGGTGTGGTGCACAACAGAACCTGCCGAGCCTGTTTTCATGAAGAGAAAGCAACACCCAGAGAAGAATAAAATGAAGGCAACAACGTTTTTAGGGGGCGATGAGAAAAAGTTTTGTCACACACAGAGACGCTAGGACACAGGAGACAAAAGGGGTGATTTTAGGGTAAAGGATGATAAGAGTGGTGATGGCAGAGCAAAGGGATGAAGAGCGGTGATGGCAGGGCAGAGGATGAATAGAGAGGTGATGGAAGGGCAGAGGATGAGAAGAGTGGTGATGGAAGGGCAGAGGATGAAAAGAGAGGTGATGGAAGGGCAGAGGATGGATGGAAGGGCAGAGGATGAAAAGAGAGGCGATGGAAGGGCAGAGGATGAAAAGAGAGGTGATGGAAGGGCAGAGGATGAGAAGAGTGGTGATGGAAGGGCAGAGGAAGAAAGCAATGATGATTCCAGGGCAATTGAAGGGAGAAGTAGTGATTCCAGGGCAGAAGATGGGTGGAGAGGTGATAAAACTAGGGCAGAAGGGAAGAGGGTGGTGATGTTAGAGGGGGAGGATGGTTATTCAAGAGGTAGAAGGGTGCTGATGCCAGGACAGAAGGAAAGGTGATGACTGCTAATACCATAACAGAGAGGTAAAGCCAAGACAGAGAATGAAGAGAGGGGCGGTTCAGGTTTAGAGGATGAGGAGAAAATGAATCTAGAGCAGAGGAGTAGGAGAGTAGTGATTCCTGAGCAGAGGATGAGGAGAGTAGTGATTCCTGAGCAGAGGATGAGGAGAGTGGCGATTACTGAGCAGAGGATGAGGAGAGTGGCGATTACTGAGCAGAGGATGAGGAGAGTGGCGATTACTGAGCAGAGGATGAGGAGAGTGGTGATTCCAGGGCAGAGGATGAGGAGAGTGGTGATTCCAGAGCAGAGGATGAGAAGAGTGGTGATTCCAAAGTGGTGATTCCAGGGCAGATGATGAGGAGAGTGGTGATTCCAGAGCAGAGGATGAGAAGAGTGGTGATTCCAGAGCAGTGGATGAGGAGAGTGGTGATTCCAGAGGAGATGATGAGGAGAGTGGTGATTCTAGGGCAGATGATGAGGAGAGCAGTGATTCCAGAGCACAAGATGAGGAAGGGGTGATTCTTGGACAGAGGATGAGGAGAGTAGTGATTCCAGGAAATATAATGGGAAGAGTGGTGATGTCAGAGCTTAGACAAGGTGTCTGGACAGGCTAGGGCCAAAGAGAAGAGTGGAGATGCAGTAGAAGAGGAGGAGGAAGTGGAGGGAGGTGATGCCAGGACTGACAAAGTTGAATGTAATACAGTAATACCTTGGTTTAAGAGCATAATTCGTTCCGGAAGCATGCTTGTAATCCAAAGCACTTGTATATCAAAGCGAATTTCCCCATAGGAAATAATGGAAATTCAGATGATTCGTTCCACATCCCAAAAATATTCATATAAAATGATTACAATACTGTACTGTAATATAATAACGTATAAAATATAAAGAAAAATAAACCAATTACAGGTACCTTTTGTGGCCGGTGTGAGGGGGACAAGAGAGAGGAGGATTATTGTGTAGGATGACTTTCACTATCACTAACGGAATCACTTCTATCTTGACTCAATGGAATCTTTTTCATTTTGTGAAACCTTAACAAGGAATCTATCCAATGTGACATTGCATTGTCGTTAAACAGTCTCATCGCTCGCACTGCTACAGCCTTGTTCGGGTGGCGCTTTTCTACAAAATTTTGCTCTTTTTGCAAGACATTTGCTTGTATATCAAAGCAAAATTTTTCAGAAATGTTTGCTTGTCTTGCAAAACGCTCTCAAACCAAGTTACTTGTAAACCAAGGTATTACTGTACCAGGATAGAGGTAGACAGGAAGGGACAGAGTGGTGGTCGATCACCCGCAGGTCTACCAGCAAGATCTCGGTTCCAAAAACCACCAAGTGGGAAGTGAAGAGCCCTCCGAAGAGCAAAGTGCTGATTATCAGGCAGGCTGAGAACATGAAATGCCCAGTGGGAGGGAAAGGTAAGCATCGTCACACACAGGAGGACAAAGGTCAAAGGACAGACAGGGCCCAGTAAAGATAAAGCAGAAGATAAAAAGCACAACAGTAAATAGAAGATAAAATCATGTAAAAGTATAAAGCAGCTTCCGCCATAAAACCCCCGGCTGCCATTGCTCTCTTCAACCTTTTTTCTTCTCCATTTTGCTTATTTTCTGGTTCTTTATTTTGGTTCTTCTCTTTACTGTCTTTTGGTGCCACCAACATTTTCAGATCCATGGCAATAAATAACTCTATGGGGGCTATTTATAATTGTTGTGCCCAGCCATATACTGGGTGAATACCGTTTGCACGTCATCCCCATCACTAGATGGAGCTGAGAAGCATAGGAATTTCCGATGCCCCTCAGCTCCATCTAGTGGTGGGAATGCCATGTGCCATTTTTAAATGAAACTAAACTACAATTTATTTTGACTTGCCATTGAAAGCTGAACTCCGGGATGAGCAGATATATTGCCTAAATACAAGAGTCATCATGTGTATTCTTCCTGAATCTTGGTGAGCTTTGTGCATTTCTTCCAGATATGTGCAGTAATCCAGTGTCAGACCTGGAGCTTCCTGTAATACAGACCGCTCACTGCTGCTCCCTCTCCTTATGCAGGGTGACTGGTCTTGTCTCCACCCCCTCCTGTAATAAAGACCAGTCACTGCTGTTCTCTCTCCTTGTGCAGGGTGACTGGTCTCGTCTCCACCCCCTCCTGTGATAAAGACCAGTCACTGCTGCTCTCTCTTGTTCGGTGTGACTGGTCTTGTCTCTGCCCCTCCTGTAATAAAGACTGGTCACTGCTGCTCTAGCACCATCTGCGGGGTGACTGGCCTTGTCTCCGCCCCCTCCTGTAATAGACCGCTCACTGCTGAGCTCTCTCCTTGTGTAGGGTGACTGGTCTTGCCTCCACCGCTTCCTGTGATAAAGACCGCTCACTGTTGCTCTCCTTGTGCAGGGTGACTGGTCTTGTCTCCACCCCCTCCTGCAGTTTTCTGCAGGCAGCTTGTTGTGGGTGGAGCCTACGGGGCCCCTCCCACAGCTCTGCTCTCTGCACAGGCGATGTACAGCACAGTGATGATGTCACTTACTTTTTTAAGGCTCCATCTGGGTTTTCAAAGCCATTTGGTGCCCATAAAGTGGGTTTATATCCTTTATGGCTATTGAGGAATACATTTATATGAAAGGTATTGTGCCCGGAGTTCAGCTTTAAGAAGATGAATTTGTATGAATCACAACACATGAGCACACAAGGACATGAAACGCAGTGAAAGATTCCTAAAACTGATGGGTAGGTTGTACAGTATCAGATGGTATTTCCGTAAGGGGAGATGATCACGTGTACGCAATGTGCCCTATTCATATCTGCCCTCAGACAGCAGAGCGTTGTTATAGGGATCTGTGGTATGCGTTCACCGAGCACAGATCTGAAATCTTATGCATGTAAAGTATGTGTGTTCAATCTTCTGCTTTTCTTGGTTTCTGTTTGTTTTCTACCTGCAACGTTGTTTTTTTTCGTTTTTCATTCTTTTGCTAGAGAACTTTGTATATTACAACGAGATACTGTGTGCTTTTAAGAGTTACATTTTCCTTGTCTGGCAATTGACTGCTAATTAAGAATTTCTCCTCCCCACTCATCCAAGACTGGGGACATTTATGGGGTTTGTAACAAAAGGTGCTCATACACTGCACGATTCTCGTACGAGAATCGCGGGAAATCCCGCGATCGTACGAGACTCGTGCAGTGTGAATGAAGACGTGTGACCGTTTCCACTGTACGGTCGCACGTCTTTTGTCTAAGGAGCGTGCTAGCAAAATCAGCCGAAAATCGTAATGATGCTCGGGAGACAAATGCCGAACGGGCCGGTGTGCGCTGCCCGTTCAGCATTGCGGTCATCGGAAGCCCGCCCCTCAGGGGGGCGGGCTTGCGATGATCGCAAGTACGATCTGCCTGTCCAAAATGGGCAGATTGTACGTTTTTTTAATTACTTTACAACCATCGCAAGACTAAGGTCTTCCGATGGACTAAGGTCTTGCGATGGTTGTAAAGTGTATGGCCACCTAAAGAGTGAATTAGCTATGACTAAGGCCTTAATGGCTGAAACGAGTTACCATCTTGTCCACATGCAAAGCAATAAACTATTGATAGAGATCTTCATTGGAGTGCCGGCTCTTGGTATCTTGGATATTTCACTGCAGGCCTGCCTGCCATGGCACCAGTGTTCTGACTAGCTGCAAAAGAACTAGGAGGGTACAGCACAATTGCTTTCTATGCGTTTAGACATCTTGTGCAGGATTGCAGTAAAACTGTGAGAAAGCATTTTGGGTCATAAAGTAGCTGGGGACTCCCAGCGGGCCACATAGTGAAGATCTCGGACTGAGGACAGGTAGGACTTTGTGAGGTTTCTGGAGAGGAAAGGGTCATTTAAGTCAGTGGTTCTCACCGTGTGTAACCTCAGGACCCACATTTGTCCTTGGTATTTAAGTTGCGACCCCAAGTCTGCAATGGAAAAAAAAAATCTCATCTCTGAGCCTGACGAAGGGGACCCTGTGTGGCCCTGAAAGCACTTGCCAATGAGAGACAGTATCTGTCAATAAATGAGCATCTAATTGCTGTTATTATCGTTGTTGGAGTGCTGGTGACGTCTTTCTTTTTGTCCAAGTCTGCAATGGAACGCAGGGCATTGCGGTACCATGCGTTCCGGCGATTGTTCTGTGGGCGGGAGGTGTGTTTGGGGTACC